GTAATCCCAGCACTCAGGAAGTAGAGGCAGGAAGGTTGGCTGCCCAAGGTTATCCTCAGCCTGGATTACAGAAGACCTAGTCTTAAAAAAAAAAATAGAAGAGGAAAAGCTGAGATTTGCTGAGCATTTCTTTTTACAGGCCATCCAAGCAGTTCCAAGCAAAAGCTAGCAGAATGTTCTCCATGTGTCAGACCTGAGCAGCTCTGTCAGGAGCGAGGCTCCCCACTCAGGGGCATTCCAAGTCCACTCCCTAACTCCAGCCCCCCTGTACACTGCTGTGATGGTGGGTGCAGTTTCAATTGTTTCTTTTTTAAATTTTTGTTACATTTATGTTTAAGTCCGTGTGCTTGCCTGAATGCCATAGTAGGTGTGGAGGTCAGAGGACAACTTGTGGGTGCCTCAAACTTAAGTCCAGGTCCACAGGTTTGGCGGCAAGCACCCGTGAGCCATCTTGTCCACCCGTGGTGGTGAATTTGAACACTTGCCATCCCCTATGGCAAAGGGTGGTCAGGCATCTCAGAGAAGAAAGGATATGTTTCGTGCTTCCGCTAGGGCTTCTAATAGTTCTTCTAAGACGGGTGAGATCATTGTGCTTCCTCTCCCTAAGTCAGAGTGTCTCAGTGCAGACTTAGTCCTTGGGCTCATCTGCTCCGAGGGCCGTTCTTCCTGGAATGTGCAAAGGCTAAAATAGTGTCCATTATTAATTGCGCAGGGCCAAATTAAGAAGGTGAGGGCCAGCAAGATGGCCTAGTAGGTAAAGGCTCTGGCCACACACACCTGGGGACCCGAGTTCAATTCCTGGACCCCATGTAAAGGTAGAAGGAAAGAACAGACTCCACAAATGTGTGTGGCCTCCACATGCATGCCATGGCACATGAGCCCACCTTATACACACAATAACAGCATTACAAAAAATTGAAGTGCATCGGGCCAGATGTGCTGGCACAGCTGCAATCCCAGAGTCTGAGGCCAGCCTGGACTGACTACACAGTGACCTCCTGCCTCAAGTCGTATCTAGAAGATGACCCAGGAGAAGGGTTCTGACATCTCCTCTGGGCAACACCAGTGTGCCGCCAAGCTGAGAACCACACCTTTAACTTGAGTCCCCCCCCACACACACTTATTTTTTTTCAACAAAGAAAATAGTGCTGCCTGCAGCTAATGGCAGATTGACCCTGCCTCAGCACTTGCCCTGTCTTGCTTGGAGAGTGACCTTCTTGGGTTAGTCACATCTGGGCCCTAATTTCTCAGTGTATAGCCTGAGAGAATAATGAGAGGCGTTTAGAGAGAGTTTTCACAGCCAGGCCAGGACTTCTGACAGAGTTCTTTCCCTACCTCGGGGGTTTCTCATCACAGTATTGTTTCTGTGGGGAAATCGATCCAATTTTAATCTTTTTCACTTACACCACCTTTTCCTAGAATATAACCTGCTATGAATTCGAACAATACCTGCTTTTTTTCTTTGCTTTGCTTATGAATGTGCGAGTGTGGGTGTGAGAAAAGCTGGAGTTCCCTAGGACAGGGCAGGGCCCAGGACTTGGAACAGCCTGGGAAGGTGGTGGGGGTGGGCTGTGGTCGGTGCTCAATGTGGGTAGCTGGGCTATTCTGAGCCTCAACTTGGTACCTCGCCCACCATAGGCACCACCTCAATAAGCTGCTATCTGGGGAGACCAGGGCCTCAGCTGATAACCAGGACTGAGGGGTTTCCTGCAACGTAAGACAGCGCAGAGCTTACCGCCTTCATGTTTACCTCCTGAGTGCCTGGCAGTGGTAGAATCCAGCTGACCTCCTGAGTCCTGGTGGCTCCTCAGACAGAAATGTGGCTGCTGGGGGAGAGCTGGTACTCTTACAGAAGACCTGGGTTTGGTTCCCAGCACCCACACCAGATAGCCTACAATTGCCCATAACCCCAGTTCTGCTGGATCTGATGCCCTCATCTGGCCTCCAAAGAGACTTGAACTCACACAGACACATAAAATAAATATTTAAAATGAAAGAAAAAAGAAATGAGGTGGTACAGACTCCTCTGTGCCATGAGACGCTCAGGCATCAGCTCTCAAAATCCAAGGCCCGCATCCACTTCTGCTGGGAGTCTCTGTACACCCGAATGCCTGTGGCGAAGGCATCTGTTTATCCCTAGGTCCGCGTCACATGTGGAATAACTGGGGCATTCACAGGCACCTCAGAGAGTTTGATGTCAGTGTCCTAGAGCAGGGAACAGACAGGCAGGAAACTTCTCTCCTATATGTGAAACAAAATGTCGCTCTTCGATGTGTCTGATCCTCTGAGGTTGTCTTAATCAAAAACATTCCCATTTTTTTTTTGACCAGGAGGATTGCTCAGTGGTTAGAACACTTGCTTCATGAGCCTGAAGACCAGAGTCTGGGTACCCAGACAGAACCCATGTAAATACTGTGTGGCTGTGGCAGTCTCCCTATAACTCCAGCCTCCAAGAGCAGGCAGGGGAACCCCCAGGACAAGCTGGCTAGCGAGACAAGTCATAGCTTCAAGCCCTGGGTCTGACTGAGAAACCCTGCCTCATTGAATAGGTGGGTGTCTTAGTCAGAGTTCCTGCAGCTGTGATCAAGAGCAGCTTGGGAAGAAAGGGTTTCTTTCAGCTTCCACCTCCCAGTGACAGTTCACCGTGAATGGGCGAGGGCAGGAAGAACTCGAGGCAGGAACTGATGAAGAGGTCATGGGGGAACACTGTTCACTGGCTTGCTGCTCATGATTTACTGTCTGCTTTCTTACAGTGCCCAGGATCACCTGCCAAGGGTTGGCACCGCCCCCAAAGAGCTGGGCCCTCCCACGTCAGTTGTCAATCAAGAAAATGCCCCGCAGGCTTGCTCACCGGCCAGTGTGATGAGGGCATTGTCTCAACTGAGGTTCCCTCTTCCCAAAGGACTCCAGTTGACATGAAACCAGCCAGGCCTGGGAAGATGAGTCCCAGCATCAGACTTGGCCCTCCATATACATACACACATGCACACACACACACACACACACACACACACACACACACACACACACACTACATGAAAATAGGGAGAAAAAAAGGGAAAAATAAATAATAAAATCTTTAAAATGGCCCCCTAGAGAAATCAGACATTTTGCTGTGTTAGTTGGTGGAAAACAGATCATAGTGTCTTCACGGGAATTCTACTTATTTTTTTGTCTCTCTTCTGGGGTTTTTGTTTGTTTGTTTTTGAGTGAGCATCTCATGTGGCCTGGCCTCAAACTTGGTATGTAGCCAAGAATGACCTTAAACCCCGATCTTCCAGCCCCCACCTCCCAAGTGCTGGGGTGACAGACATTTGTCACCCCACTTAGCTGGAGAGTCTTAATGTATAAAGTCTAGCCACTCATGTCTTTTTTTTTTAGACTTCTTTTATGTGTGTGAGTGTTTTGCCTGCATGAATGACTATGCATCACAGGCATGCAGTGCCCAAGCAGGCCAGAAGAGGGCACCAGATCTGGAACTGTAGTTTTGGATGGTCGTGAGCTACCGTGAAGGGGCTGTGAATCAAACCTGGGTCCCCTTAAGAGCAGTCTGTGCTCTTAACCCCCGAGCCACCTCTCCAGCCACGAGTTCGGCTCACTTGTAAAGGGTAGGATGCGGGTACCCTTTGCCCGGTCACTCTTCTTTCCCAGCTCTCCCCTGGCTCTGGACCTCTGAGGCCCAGCATCAGATGGTTTCCTTGCCCACCCTCCCTCCCTATCTCCCGGTTTGCTTCTTTGGGATGTGAGAACTGCTTCCTCCTCGTAGCTGCTGAGGAGGTTGGAGGATCCCCTTGTCCCTGTGGGCTTGTCTTACCTGGCCAGGCCTGTGGCACTCAGGGCCAGCCACGTTTACTCCCTAGAATCTAGGATCGAGGGAGTAGATGTCTGAGTAGCAGGAAGTGTGCTCTGTTTCCAGAAGGTCACGAAAAGCCTGATGCTTTCATGTGGAGAGAGAAGTATTGAGGTCATGAACAGGGAGGATTAAAAGGGACAGCCTTATTTCCGAGACTATTTCTACCTTAGCCAGTCAGGAGCTGGGGTCAAAACCTTGACCCCTGGTTCCATGCATCCCTCCCCATGTCCTTCTTTCCTAGGCCACCACTGGTGGCCCCATCTGCCACCATCCCACCTTGATGCCCATTGCCCTCACAGCCACCTTCTGGCTGGACACCAAACCCAGGCCCTTGCTGTCCCACTGAGACCCTCTGCCCTCCTTCTCCAGCTCCCACTGAACCTCAGAGTGGCCAACACCTGCACCCTCAGGGACGTGGAAGGAGAGCTGGCCTCCTCCCCACAGCTTCCCAAGAACCCCGTGTTCTCACCCCCATCTCCAGTTTCCACCTCGGCACCCCTCCCCCTTCGTCCTCGGCCCAGAAGTGTCTTAGGCCACGTTTGAGTGGGGCTCTCAGGAGAACCAAGTAAACAGTGGTTTCCTCACATTCCTGTCAGCCTTTGTTTTTTAAGACTGAAGAGTCCAAACTGGAGAGGTCCCCCCTCTCCCTCCCCACCCCTTGGCTCTTGCTTTTGACCTTGGGGTTAAGGACGTGGCTGGCCCGGATTGCTGGGTTTACACAGCATTTCGGATTGGCCTGGTTGGCCTTCAGGGGTCTCCTCCATTGTCCTGACTTGCCTCTACTCTTGCCCAGGAGTGAGAACTGGCTGCAGGACAAGACAGGGCCCAGGCTGTAAGAGCAAAGCTGCACCACGGATAAACTCTGTGCTTGGCCACTGTGCTGGCCTTCTCACAGCCACGGCCACAGATGGCCTCCAGGACAGCCCCTCCAGCTCTGCCCACAGCCGTCCCAGCCAAGGGAGCTGGCTTCTCTTCTAGGATGTGTGTGGGCCTCAGGGGAGGGCTAGAACAATGCCAGGCCCCTTATCAACAGCTAATCCCGGCCTGGCAGGCTCTGGGACTTCCCTTCTCAGAAACACCCACTCTTATTTTAACACATGGCATGTTCGCTTCTGACTCAGCCCTAATTGCAGACAGAGCAGAGACAATCCCTCCCTAGAGCCACAGCCAAGAGCAAACACCTTCAAGTCCTCCAGGAATGGGCCTGGCTTCCTTCTGCCTTTGTCAGAGGGCTCCCGGGGCCACAAAATGGAGGGGCCGAAAGCAGAAACCCCAGGAAGAAATCATCAGCTTCCACCTCTCTTCCAGGGTTCCGTTCACTGAAGCCCAGCGAAGGCAGCTCCAGTTCAGAGCCACACAGGCGTGGGATTCCAGAGCCAGTCCTGTGTGCCTATCCTCTACGCTTCTCAGGGGGCTGAGGAGGTGGGAAGGAAACTCAGACATTGTTGTTGAGGTTGTCTCCATTCGTGGCCGGCTTCCATACTTTCTTAGGACTTGCTCCTTCTCAGGGGTCAAGTGGTCAGCACCTCAGCAGCAAGAAATGAGGACTGGTTTTGTCCAGAAGGGGAGATATTGCAAGTTGGAACCTCCAAGTAGGCTAGGCATGGTGGTGCAAGCCTTCAATCTTAACACTCAGGAAGTGGAGGTAGGAGGATCAGAAGTTCACGGATAGCCTCAGCTACACAGTGAGCTTAAAGCTAGCCTGGGCTACATGAGGCCTAGTCAAAGGAAGGAAAACGAAAGGAACAAAGGGAAGGAAGGAGGGAGGGAAGGAGAGAGGGAGGGAGGGAGGGAGGGGAAAAAAAGAACCTCTAACCAAAAAAAAAAAATTGCGTAGGTGAGCGCTGGGTAAGGACATCTGCAGCTCTGGAAACAGAACTCTAGGGCCAGAATGGCCTCCAGAGGCACCGGTCTGTTCCAGGTTTCAGTGAAGATTTGTACCAAACTCAAAGTGGGAAGTGTGGCTGGACATGAGGAACAGTGGTAGAATATTTACTTAGCATGCACAGCCCTAGGGGTCCAAACTCCAGGAGAGAGAGACAGAGACAGAGACAGGGAGACAGAAATACAGAGAGGGCCAGAGACAGAGAAGAACAGGCTCCGAGGATGCGCTCAGAGCCTCCAGCTCAGCCCAGCACCCACGTTCTGATTCCTGTTCCTCTGAACCAAGACTCTGGAAGCAGCAATCTGTGGTCAGAGTCTGTGTCCCAGCTGAAGTAGCCAGGCTTGGAATCCAGACAGATGCTGAGCAGTTCACTCTGTCTAAAAAGACTGGTTAGCCACCAAAGCATTAGGACCATCTTCCTGACCTAGAGTTGTCCCCAGTAGTCTCTGGAACTACAGCACTCTGGGACCAGTCTCTGAAAGCAGGAAGTGTCAAGCCCTGTGGCCCTCAAGACCGAGCTAGAGATCTCTGAAACATAGAAATAGCAGCCAGAAGCTGTGATCAGAAAATTCCAGAACTGGGGCAGGCTTAATCCATTTAATGTATGTTCTGCTTTTCAGTCCAAACATCTAATGAGCCTTTACTGTCTGACCCACTCAGTGTGTGCCCAAAGACTTCTCTTTGAGGCATGAGAAAGGCCAATGTCCGAGGCTTTCCGTTGACTAGAGGGGGTGAAGATTAGAAACTCTGGCTAATGTTTAAGGGGATCGAACTTTAGTATCAAAACATAGCTTACTTTGCAATTACCCCTTCCCCCAACACACTGTTCTGGTGTGGGTTTTGTTTTGAGTCTCAGGAACCCAGGGTAGTCTCCAACTCTCTGTGTAGCTGAGGACGACCTTGGGCTTCTGGTCCAAACTCCTCCACCTCCCAAGTGCTAGGATTTCAGGCATGTACTACCACACCCAGTTTACCAACTCAAGGTTGCACTGTGGCTTCGTGCTTGCTAGGCAAGCGCTTTACCAACTGAGCTGCAACCCCATCCCCATGTACTACCTTTTAAAAAGTATACACACACACACACACACACACACACACACACACACACACATATGTATATGTGTGTGTATGTATATATATGTGCTTGGTTTTTTTGTTTTTCATTTTCAATCATTTCAAACATTAAAAACATCACACATGGGACTGGAGAGATGGTTTCGTGGTTAAGAGCACTGGCTGCTCTTCCAGAGAACCTGGGTTTCATTCCCAGCACCTACACAATGGCTCACAACCATTTGAACTCCAGTTCTGGAGATCTGAGAGCATCATACACATGCAAACAAAACACCCATACCCATAAAAGTAAAATAAAATGAAAGAAATGACCTCTTTGAAAAATCGGCTTCCACGTGGGCTGAGGATGTGGCTCAGTAGTAGAGCACTGGATCCCAGCCCTACAGCTTTCCCAAATGCTAACCTTTTCTTTCTTCTTGTGCTATGGATTGAACCTAGAGCCAGGCTCTAGCCCTGAGCTCCAGCCCTCAATGCTGACATCTTATACAGCTACAGCTTAATCAGCAAACCCAGAGTGTGAAACAGAAGTATAATACTGTGAACTTATCTCCAGACGTTAGTTAAAGTTTGCCAATTGTTTAACTGATGTTCCTTTTCCAACCCAGGATCATGTATTGAGCTGGCCTGTCTCCGTGGTCTCCTGTGAGCTGAGACAGTTTGCTCATTCTTTGCCCTTCACGATTGGGACATTTTTGAAGAGCAGTGGCCAGTTACTTTGCAGAGTGTTCCTCACACTGGGTGTGTCTGGTATTTTTCATGATTAGATTGTGGGTCTGTATGTTGAGCAAGAACACCACTGAAGAGACATTGTGTCCTCGGTCGTCCCAGCAGGGGGGCAGGAGACTGCTGCCTCTGTTCCTGATGACGGTAAGATGATCAGTTGGATTAGGTGGTGCCCAATGGATTGGTTACAAGCAAAGTCACTACGCTCGCCTTTGAAATTAGCATGCTATGTGAAGAGACATTTTGAGAAAATGCAATGTCTTTTGTCTGCATATTCCACCACTACCTTCAGCCTCATAAATGGTCCTCTAGCCATGACCACTGTGAAGTCAGCCAAAGCCTGGCTTTTCTAGTTCCAGCATTCCTTCTCCCCTGACCAAGTGGAATTCTAGAGGAGAAAGAGCATCTTTATTCCCTTGTCAGCTTATTTATTCAACTGTTTGCTCATGTCAGCACGGAGATGATGTTTGTCTTATTCTAAGTCATTATTTATTATTCTAATTCTCCCAGACTTGACCAGCAAACGCCTATGATGATCAACCAGCATGAGATCCTGTCTACAGAAAAAAAAGAAAAAAAAAATAGAATGATATTTGAGACCAAGCTCTCCCTGGCAAGGTGGCTTGGCAAGGAAAGGCACTTGCCACCAGGCTGCATTCCATCTCCAGGTCCAACAGCTCCCATGAGTTGTCCTTCTGACCTCCCTGTGTGAACTATGGTATATTCGTGCATGTGTGTGCACAAACACACAAATAAATGGATGAATGAATGAATGAATATGAATTTAAAACATATCTCATTGGGGTGTGGCTCCGTTGACAGAGTGCTTGCCTAGTATGCATGAACCAGTACTACATAAAACAGTGGCAGTGGCACATGACTATAAACCTAGCACTTGGGGCAGAGGGGCTACATGAGACCTTGTCTCAGAAGAAAAAACTCTCATAGTACTAGGATATCTTTAATTCTAGTGTTGCAGTATATTTGTACACTGTATGAAGATATATTGCTGTGATTGGTTTAATAAATAAAGAGCTGAACAGCCAATAGCTGGGCAGGAGGTCCAGGTGGGACTTCCAGGCAGAAAGAGGAAGTAGGAGGAGATAATCAGAGTGAAGAGGAGATGCTAACAAGACATGGAGGGAGTCAGATACACAGAACGAAAGAAAGGTAAAAAGCCACGTGGTAAAACGTAGATTAATAAAAGCAGGTTAATTTAAGTTATAAGAGCCAGTAGGACAAGCCTAAGCTAAGGCTGAGCTTTCACAATATTAAGTCCACATGTCATCATTTGTGAGCTGGTGGGACAGAGAAAGACTTGTTACAAGTGTCTGTCAAAGAGAACTCAGCCAGGAAGTGTGTAGAGTCATCCTTGGCTATCTTTTGGACTCAGTTCCAGGATAACCCACTGATATCAAAATTGACACAGGCACAAGTTCCTAATATAAGATGAGATCAGGACCCTGGGTGTGGCTCAGTCAATAGAGCACTTCCCTAGCATGTGCAAAGTCTGGATTCCATCCTCAGAACCACATAAAACCAGTGTAGTGAACTCACCCTTATAATCCCAGCACTCGGAAGTTCATCCCTCAGCTACATAACCAGCTCAAGGTCAACCTGGACTGGATGGATGGATGCATGGATGGATGCATGGGATGGATGGATGGGATGGATGGATGGATGGATGGATGGATGGATGAGTGGATGGATAGATGGATGGGTGGGCAGGCGGGCAGACAGACAGACAGACAGGTGGACAGATGGACGGACAGACAGACAGACAGACAGATAGATAGATAGATAGATAGATAGATAGATAGATAGATAGATAGATAGACAGACAGACAAATAGATAAGAGTAAAGCAGTTTAACAGAATCCCAAAACATACAGTTAGCTGGGATATTTCTAGAATGGGGTTGAGTACTTTCCCATGGGACTTTTCACATGTGGGTACAAAAGAGGGGTCAGTTTCAGGTTAAACCAAAGACCATCTGAGACAAGGTAGAGGAATTTGCCCAGTCACAATCCAACACCCTCTTCTGACAGTACTGCATACACGTGGTGGACAGGCATCATATGGGCCAAACACCCCCACACATATAATTTTAAAAATAAAAATGGATGTTTGTAGGAATTAATGATGAGAAGAACACCATCTGTACCTGTTCAGGAGACACACAGCTACAGTCGGCCCCTCTGCACACACAGATGAGACACACGGCAGCAATGCTTACATGCTCTGGAGAGACACCGGGGATGCCAGGAGTGGTCGGAGGGTCCATCCCAGTGTGCCTACACTTTATTCACCTCCCTTTTAAGTGCTCGTCAAGTGGCAAACCCAAGTCTTGCTTTGTTTGCGACAAGTTCTCACTATCTGAAATCTTGCTATCTGGAACTTCGTGGAATTTTTGTTCCAATATTTCCATCCATAGACTTAGCTACAACCTGTGCTGTGGAGGGCCTGTGTCTGACCATCTCTGTGTGTAAAATCCTTGGCTCATACCAGTGCTTAGTGTAGCTTGAGTTTTCCGCCTTGCCCACAGTCAGGACAAATCTCTGTCACCCGCCAGTCCCACAGCCGCTCAGACCCAACCAAGTAAACACAGACACTTATATTGCTTTCAAACCGTATGGCCGTGGCAGGCCTCTTGCTTACTGTTCCTTTATCTTGCTAACTGTGCTTTTATCTTAAATTGATCCATTTCCATAAGTCTATACCTTGCCATGTGGCTGGTGGCTTACTGGCGTCTTCACATGCTGCTGGTCATGGC